AATAAAAAAAAAAATATATATACATATATTATGTATATTATGTATGTATATATATACATAAAAAAATGTATTATTATGGTATTATAATAATAATAATACAAATACTCTTGTGCATTTGAGAATGCTCAATACTATTAAATAATAGAGCAACATTTATTTATTTATATAAAATGAATGGAATGAATGAGTTTCATGCCTTTTAGTAATCATATCAAGGTTAACAAGGCAAACTATATCAAGGCTATAGTTGCATACCTAATGTCAAAATTGTTGTCAGGTCAGGTTTATCCTGCTACTGGTAACATGTAACCCAGTACAATCTGCTTCATGTCTTGCTGCCTTGTAGGATATGCCTTTTTAGGCAAAGGCTAGGAAATGCAAACTCCGACATAAAACACCCCCTGCCTTGGGGCTCTTGGTTGAGTAAAGGCTAGAGATGGTGTTTCAATAAAAATACTCATCTTGGGCAGATGTTACATGCATCTAGCTGCTGTCTTGCAGAAGGCCTCCTAGGTAAAGACTTAAGGGGTAAAAAGAATCTATCTGTTGACCAGCCTCGCACCCCTTCCTCATCTATTAGGCTGGCACAGATGTATTTTTAATGAACTGTTTCCAGTTTAGGATGTTGAACGCTGGATTATCTTGACTCGATTCATGGGTTTTGCTTGTCCCTCTCTTTTTATGACTAGGCAACTCATTCTATTATCTCCAAATGAGGGTACAGCTCTAAAACTCAGTTTTATGGTTCTGAGGCCGGCTGGTTGTCAGGTTTCATGAACTCTGTGGTAGCTCTCAGAGAGGCTGATTCCATCAACAGCTGAAAAATATCAGAGTACTAACAGTGCCATGTTGCGCATGGATGGTGTCCCTATTTGTATATTTGGTGTGCATTGCCAAGGCTACATTGGAGCCCTTTGTTACAGCTTAGAGTTTATAAGTGGAAATGAGGCAATTGCTTGAGCTATAAAGCAGTGTACTGAGTACTATCTATGTTTCGAGTCAAGTTCTTTAACAAATCTAAAAATGAATAAAGTAACAAAAACTGTAAAACACAAAAAACCACAGTCATCACCAAGTTCGCTAAACCTATCATTCACCAATATTCGTGGTCTTCGAAGTAACTTTTCTTCTATTGAGTCTTACCTCTTGCAAAGTTCACCAGACCTACTTGCTCTTTGTGAGACTAATTTGAGTTCAGCTGTTTCATATGGTGATCTTAGTGTTGATGGTTATCTTTTTTTAATTCGTAAAGACTCCAATAGTCACATGCTTGGCCTGGGCATTTACATTCGTAAGAATTCACCCATTTGTCGGGAAACTAGGTTTGAATCCACAGACTACTCTTTTATGTGCTTTCATTTAGCACCACTTCACTCTATCACCTTTCTCTTTGTTCTATATTGCTCTCCTTCATTTCAAGACTGCACTCTTCTTGATGTTATTTCTGATTAAATTGACCAAACCCTCATTCTTTATCCATCAGCCAATATTGTTGTTGTCGGTGACTTTAATGTTCATCACACTGAATGGCTTGGCTCTAGTGTCAGTGACTCCACAGACATTAAGGCCCTCAACTTTTGCCTTTTTCAATCCCTAACTCAAATAGTCAACTTTCCAACTCACTTTACAGATAACCCGAATCATTTACCTTCTCTACTCGACTTATGTCTTGTTTCTGATCCTAGTCAGTGCTCAGTTTCTTCACACTCACCCTTAGGTGTGTCTGATCATGGTTTGATCTCTCTAAAACTATTATCTCATTCTTCTTTACCATCAGAATCCCCTTATCATCGTACATCTTACAACTACCTTAAAGCTGACTGGGACTCTTTCCGTGATTTTCTTCGTGATGGCCCCTGGGTAGAAATCTTTCGTCTCCCTGTTGACAAATGTGCTTCTTACATAACTTTGTGGATTCAGGCTGGCATGGAATCCTTTATTCCTTCTCGACGATTCCAGGTCAAGCCTCACTCTTCTCCATGGTTTTCCTCACATTGTGCTGCTGCAATTGCTAATCGAAACCATTACTTCCATATCTATCAGCAAAATAATTCTCCAGAAAACAGACGTCTGTTTATTACTGCTAGGAATCATTGTAAAAAGGTTTTGTCTAACGCCAAAGCTCGCTATTCTCAGATCATGAAATCTCGTATTTCATCTCAAAAATTAGGCTCTCGTGACTTCTGGAAAATCTTTAATAGTATCAATAATAAGGGCAAGTCTGTAATTCCACCTCTTTTGTATGGTTCAGACTTCGTCACCTCACCTAAAGACAAAGCTGAATTGTTTGCCAAGAACTTTTCATCAATATCATCTCTTGATGCCACTAGTTGCGTTCTACCTGATATGGCCGTCAAACAGGTTGATCCATTGCTCTACATTCGTATCACGCCAGCTTCTGTATCTAAAGTGATTTCCCGCTTAGACTCTTCTACAGCTTGCGGCCCGGACAACATACCTGTTATAGTCTTGCAGAAGTGTTCTCCGGAGCTGTCGTCTATCCTTTCAAAACTATTTAACAAGTGCTTACCAGAGTCTTGTTTTCCAGCCTGCTGGAAAGCAGCATCTGTTATCCCTATTTTTAAAAATTCTGGAGAGCGATCTGATTCATCTAACTACCGTCCCATTAGTCTTCTTCCTATCATAAGCAAGGTTTTTGAATCTTTAATTAACAAACATTTAATCTCTTATCTCCAATCTCATAACCTACTTTCTGATCATCAATATGGATTTCGACCTTCTCGTTCTACGGCTGATTTGCTATCAGTAATAACCGATAGGTTTTATTGCGCATTAGGTGGAAGGTTAAGGCCATCGCTCATGACAATTCTAAAGCGTTTGATAAAGTTTGGCATGCTGGTCATCTCCATAAGCTTTCTTCTTATGGTGTATCTGGAAACATCTTTAAGATTATTGAATCCTTTCTTTCCAATCGTAGTATAAAAATTGTCCTTGATGGACAGCACTCTTCTTCTTATTCTGTAACCTCAGGGGTTCCCCAAGGTTCAATCCTTGGCCCTATACTCTTTATAATTTACATTAACGATCTTTCAGATATTCTCACATCTAAGGTGGCATTGTTTGCTGATGATACTACCATTTATTCTTGTCACGATAAGAAGCCAACTCCCTCTGATTGCTTGCAGGGGGCATCTGAGCTTGAAAAGGATCTCACTTCTGCTACAGCATGGGGCTCACAGTGGCTGGTGAACTTTAATTCAGATAAAACTCAATTTTTTTCAGCCAATCGTTATTGCAATAATTTAGACCTTCCTGTATTTATGAACGGTAATGTACTCGATGAGTCTCCTACCCTTCATCTTCTAGGATTAACTCTTACTTCTGATCTTTCTTGGAAACCTTATATCAAATCCGTTGCAAAATTAGCATCTGCTAAAGTTGCTTCTCTTTATCGAGCTCGTCACTTTCTTACTCTGGATTCTATTCTCTATCTCTATAAATCTCAAATCAGGCCTTGTATGGAATACTGTTGCCATATCTGGGGCGGATCTTCTAATGATGCCCTTTATCTTTTGGACAAGGTGCAAAAACGCATTGTAAACATAGTTGGACCTGCTCTTGCAGCCAACCTTCAACCTCTGTCACATCGTCGTAATGTTGCTTCTCTTTCTCTTTTCTACAAATACTATAATGGGCACTGCTCGAAGGAGCTAGCGTCTCTTGTGCCATCTACTAAAATTCATTCTTGTGTTACTCATCATTCAATCAAGTCTCATCCTTTTTCTGTTACTGTTCCTAAGTGTTCCAATAACTCTTATTCGCCTAGTTTTTTTTCCTTAAACATCAGTTCTTTAGAATTCGTTTCCTTCATCTTGCTTTCCTGATTCATATAATTTGCAATCTTTTAAGTCGTCTGTCAATTGTTATTTTGCTCTACAATATTCATATTTTCTCTTCCAGTAACTTCCAACACTAATTAGTGGTTGCTTGCAGCCTTGTTGGAAGCGAAGATGATTAAAAAAAAAAAAAAAAAGTCTTTAATAAATGCATATAACAAGATTATACAACACAATTTTACAATGCAACTGCATAGAAAAAAAATTTGTCTATTAAATAATCAATGCCTTTATAACAATACGTATACCAAGCCATTGTAAGTAAGGAGATCCTGAATCGAAAGAATTTAAATTATGATATGCCAACCATCTTAAGTTTTTCAATGCACCCAAATATAAAAATAACACTGAAATTTCAAAAGAAATATGGAAACTAAAATCTGAAAATACAAAACCTGTTATTACATAAAAGATAATAGCGCAATGTAAGCCCTAAAATCAAGCATCAAAAGTTTGGTATATTTGTCTCTACGAGAAGTTTCATATACTCTCATACAGAGGAGTAAATTTACTTAATAAAATATTTTAAATAATATCAAAGTGACGACATTCAAAGAAACTTTTACTTACCTTTTTTGACACAGGGGACTAAAACCTTTGACGTCTTTTTGTTTTTGTAACGTCAGAACTTGTTCCACCATAATTTTAATTTGTATTTTTTAAACGGTTTTTAGGTTATGAATTATACACAATGGTTGATGATTGCTGAAATGCATGAAACTCAGAAATTGTTTTCATTCATTTTATATAAAAAACAAATATGTATATATATATATATATATATATATATATATATATATATATATATATATATATATATATATATATATATATATATTTATATATATACATATATATATATATATATATATATATATATGTATATATATATATATATATATATATATATATATATATATATATATATAAATATATATATATTTATTAATATATATGTGTATATATATATATATATACACACATATATATATATATAATTATATATACACATATATAAATGCATTTCGGCAATCATTAACCATATGTAGTGTGTACATATATATACACAATACCAATTAAAATCAATAAAATAAACTTGTTGCAGTAAACCATTAAGAGAGAAAATTAAATTAAATAGCTTACATCAACACCACCTTTCGGAGTTGCTTCTCTGTATGTTGAGCGACATTTAGGAAGATTTAACTAAATTAAAACCAACAATTATTTTTCAAACAACAAAAAATAAACAATTACTTATTAATAAGTAAAATCAAATTAACAATTTTATGTGTACATACAATGACATAAAATTACAATTGTATATATTTGCAACCAAAATTTTATTACTATTACTTTAGTAATAAAATTTGAGTTGCAAGCAAAACTAATAATACCATAAAATGACTATTGGCCAGCGTTCCCACTGGCTGGGTTTAAATGTAGGAGAGTGTCAAAAAATTCTTATATAAATTAACTTCAGCGTATTAATTTAAATAAGATTTTTTTGGCACTCTCCTACAAAAAAACCCAGACAGTGGTAACGCTGCTATTGGCAACTCCAATAAAATGTCAAACATTAGTTTATAATGGTCACTTGTTGAATAGTTAACTATAATTGAACAATATTTTTAATGGTTAGCAACAAAACTATTATTTCTTTATTAAATAAATTAATTTCTTTTGATTTCATGCACAACCTGTTCTCTTTTACCATCTCAAGCTGGATAAATCAGAGGTTTAGTATGCCAAGACCATTTCAATTTTGAATTTTTAATCAAATTCTCTTTCATTCTATATTTCTTCAGTTTTTTGTATTTGAAACAAAACACTCATTGTAACAAAGTTGTTTACATATAGTTGGTTTCATTTTCATAGCTTTGTATTTTCTTTATAATTACTAAATCTTTTATTGTGTAAGATGACCAAGTAGTAATTGTATATTTCAGGTTAGGTCTGACATACGTTTTCTATAACTTGATTCATAACACTAAATACCTTGATATTATGTTTTTTAAAATTAAGCATTCTGCTTGACTTATTACTAATAACACGATGAAAATACTGATACATAGTTGATGCATCAGGATCTTTCTTTTCAACTGATTTTTCTAACACGATTCAAATTGTAGTTTATGCAAGGGTTAGTTTTTTTTCTCTTGCATAACTTTGTTAAGCTTCATTAACTAAGTTTTTGCTCATTCAGTAGTTTTATTTAAATCATTTTAAATATCAGTAGTGTCATCTAGAATACTATTAACTTATTCATTAAGTTAAAATCATATGGATATAGCTTACAGATAAAATTTAAATTGTCATACAAGTCAAACTGTTCATTAAAGAAAGCATTAGACCTAAAATAACACCTTTTGACACACCACTAGCAACATGAACTTAATCAGATATCTATTAGAAAGTTTTTAATCTAATCAAAGTTTTTGAGCTTTCAGTTTGAGAATTAATTAATATATAAATATGAAAAATTGATTTGAATTGATCATTTTGTTCTGAGGATTTGATTTTTTTTATATATTGTTCAACTAGATCTGAACTTTTGAAGAACAATTTTTATGCTATATTTTTATGGGCATCAAAGGTGTATGATTGAGCCATAGACATAAGCCATATAGGCTTTTTATTAGTACATATCATTTTTAAACAAACATATTTCTTTTGTAGTTACAATGATTCAAGAATAAACTGTAATTATCATTTTTATTTAAATTGCTAAATGTCTTCGATCAATCAACATTTTGAATATATTAAATCAAGATATCAAGATCAAATTACCCTTAGGGGGTATCTATAAAGTACATACACAGTAAAACCACTGATTTAGGACCCCCCTGTACGCAATTGAATCCTTTCAATGACCCTTATTTACTTGAACTTGAATCATCTTCATACTGCTTGAGGTATGGAAAATTGAAGTTGTCACTAATGTATACCCATGCATGTTTTACAATTCTTTTTTTGTTATTTGCATACTTTAAATTATTCCATTGTCTGTTTGATTTGACACCTTTGATAACTTTGTTTTTGGTGCAGTATGATTTTTCAGCATTAAAAATTTCGAGGACTAGCTTAATTCAGAAAATCTAGCAAAAAATACTTCCAGTCCTTCTAGTTTTAACCCTATACTTGAAAACATATTTTCTGAAATTTGCTCTGATTTTGTAACACAGTTGAGTTCTAAATTTCAAATAATGATATATTAACATAAAAATATATTGCTACACCACCAACTTCTTTTGAAAGGTTTTATTTCAGTTAAATTTATATAAACAGTTTTTTATAATACTTGTATTTAATGCTCATGTAATACAAAAATTCAGATAAAACTGATAGTTCCACAAATTTATTTAAATCACTGTCAAAACTTGTTGATCTTTATGTCATTTATTTTTGTTTTTAATACTTTTTGATTATGTATCTTAATATTATTTATTACTAATTTATTTTAAATAATATTATTTATTATTAATTAATTTTTCGATCTTATTAATCTGTCACAACTATTATTAAAGCAGAACTCAATTTGTTCTTATTTTCTGAATCTGCATTTTTTCTAGAGTTTTTTTTTTCCATTTTGCTCACAGCAACAAAACCTTTTTTTGGATTCATTTACTACATATGGAAATTGCTTATTTTTTTTATTTTGATCTTATTTTGATGTAGTCTCTGACAAATAAGTAGAAAATGCAAGGAGTGTTGCTACATTGGCTGACAAATAGGTAGAAAATGCAAAAAGTGACAATAAATTAAGTGAGGGTTTTGGTTTGGGCAGGCAATCTATCAATTAAAAAAAAAACTATTTTTATTTAAAAATTTTTTAACTATATCAATTAGGTTAGCATTTTTTCTGTAACTTAAAAAAATGTTTACTTTTAATAACTTTAAGAATAATTTTCACTTCAAGATTAATAATACGGAAGTATTATTAAACTTGAAGTGTTAGACAAAAGTCAAAAGTAATTAAAAGTGACATTATTTGTTGTCAAAATAATCATTTTTCACTTCCATATTCTCAAAGACAACAAGTTATAGAACTATATATAAATATATATGTACACAAGCATATATATATATGTACACAAGCATATATATATGTACACAAGCATATATATATGTACACAAGCATATATATTCACTATATAATCATAAATGCAAGTTAAACTTGAATATTCTATACAAATATTGTAAAAATTTATAACTAAATATTCTCACCATGTTTTGATTTTCAGCACATTTTTTATGTGCTACAAATTTACAAGCTGTGCATCGTTTCTTTGGACCTGATTTCTGTAAAAAAAGAAAAGAAACTTATTAAACACATTATTTTACATGTAGGTTTAAGTTTTATTGAGGTTATATGTTGTAAACCAGAATATTTTGTTGCATTAAATTTTGATTCATATGTTGAGACAAAAAAAATTGTAAATACTTTTTATTAAAAGCTATTTTGTTTAGAACAATGTGTGACAGCTGCCTACTAAAACAATTATCTTGGCTTCAGTAAATACATCAACTGAGGGTTTAAATTTGGGAATTTATGATTTTTTCTTTTTTTTTTTTTATTTGTTTAATAAATTGTCTTATTTTAAAATTGATGTTTTAAATATCAATGTAAGAATAATATAATAGTACCATGTAAACCTAAAAATGCACCTGTAGATATATCAATCAGCAGTGTAACAATAAAATTGTTCTGCTGTATGGAATAACTAAATATCTTAAAGGACAAATAAAACTTAAAAAAACTGTATATATAAAAAAACTGTACTATAAAAACTTACTGAAATGGTACTAAACATGCATGTGATACAAAATGAGATTGTTTATATTTTAACATTATACATTATAATAAATACTGGAGTGTTTATGGATGCTAAAGTAAAAAATAAAAAAAAAGTTGCTGTATTGTAAAACATAGAACAATGAAACATTTTTTTTTTTTTCAAAAAAAAAAAACTTTTTCACTACTTTTTCATCTCATAAAACTTTTTTGCTCCACTTTAACACAATGATGGATTGACGATTAATCTAAATAATTCATGAAGAGTATGAAAAAAAAACTGTAAACTAAACATTAAAATAGTCACCAGCAATCATTGCCAATGCGTATCAAGATTATAATTTATTTTAAAAACAAAATTCCTGTGCAAAAAATTTAACCAAAGAAACATTTTTGTTTATGAAATACTTATAAGTGAAAATGTTTTTCTTAAAAAGTATATCAATCTGGGTCTTAAAAATATTGAAAAATAATATAATAAATTTTTAGTAAAATTTGTCTAAAAAAAAGACTTAACTTTAGCTTAAAAATGCTAGTTAAAAAAACCATTCTAATTTTTAAAAACCTCTATGAAAGATTTTTTATGATCTGGTTCTTTTCAGAGAAAATAATTTTAACTTAAATATGAAATCCAGATTTTTTAAAAACTTTTAAAAACCCACATAATTGAGGGTTGAGGGGTGATACTTATTTTGTTACTTTAGAAAAATAGCATACATTTTTTATACAGGTTTTGAAAAAAGTTATAACCCTAGTCCATATATATATATAAATACATATATTATCAGTACAAGTTACTCGACAAGATACAAGTTTTAAGTACAAGGTAAAGTAAAATAACTTTTGCAGATGCTAGTCTAGCAATCAATGTGATATATGATTTTTAAGATTTCATTGAACTCAATACCTACTTTGACTTTAAATTAAGTCATATTTGAGTGTATTGGCAACAGATTAATTCCAGTGGTAACTTATGTAGCTTGACCAATGTTGTCAATACTCTTTTGTTTCTATAGCAAAGTAAAGAAAAAACTGTTATCAGAAAGAAGGAAAAAAAACTATAACAGTAATCAAACCTCAAAGCAGTTAATTTCTAAGAATAAAAATTAAAAAGTATAGCTTCATTTCCTATGATAAAAGGATCCCAAACCTTATATAAATACAACATGTCTCGAAGACATGTTGTATTTATATTAAAGAGAATGATAAAAAAAAAATGTTTAAGCTAAATTTTTTTGATTAAAAAAAAGAATAAATGCATAATAAGAAAAAATAACTTTTTTATTTTAGTTAAAGCTTGTCTTCTCCATTTTGTTGTAGGCCAAAAAGTCAGCATAATATATGCTGCAATCTACAGACTTGATAATTTATTCAAGCACGTTTTATTCCTAAGAGTTTCAATACATGAGTCATTTATTTTTGTTTGTTTGTGTAAAAGATCGATAATGTAAACAAACAAAAAAATCAATAATGTCATGTATTGAAATCTGTAGATTGCAAGGTATATTATGCTGACTTTTTGGCCTACAAAAAAACGGAAAGGTGAACTTCGACTAAAATAAAAAAGTTAGTTTTTCTTGGTATGCATTTGTTCCTTTGCTTCAGCGCAATCATTTTTTTTATCATTACCTTTACTATGAACACAACATGTCTGGAAGGTTCAGGATCCCTTTTAAAGACTAAGTAGTACGCAAAAGTGTTTTTATATAAAGCACTTTTACAATGTGCCAAGTTAAACTTAAACTATGACTCAAGAATTCATTCAGGCAACACAATTTTATAATGGTTATCTTATTTTTAGTTATAAGTATATATCTACTATTTAGATAACCAAAATGTTACAAGTTTTTCCAATTTTTATAGCATACAGTGCTTTCAGAAAAAGAAAAAAATGAAGAACAATAAAAAAATAGATTAGTACCCCATCCCTAATCCTCATTTGATGTAGCAGCACTCCTTTGCAGCAGCAGGCTATTTTAGTGTGATTTCAGATGTTATCTAAACACATATTTATTGTTGTGTATATGTGTTTATATAAATACATATATATTAGGGTGGTCCTTAATTTTCAAAGAATGATTTTTGTATGGGGCACCCCTGAATTTTGTTTATAAGCATGCATACAAAATTCACAAAAAAACTCAGCTAAATCTGAAAATTTTAGAGGTCCCTACCACATATACTAGTTAAGTATCATTTGGGGTTCGGTGGCTGCATTTCACAAGTTGTTATGCCGGTGAACTCTTTCACTATACACACCATACTGCCTGCATATTTTATCAATTTAATGTCACTTATTGTTAGGTTTCCCAGAATACATTTCACCAGCTGTCAGCCTTTTTTAATCAGACATTAACGGACAATCACACAATTTAAAAATTTAAAGGACAATTTATTAATCTGAATTAGTGCCTAGTATTGACTACTGACTTTCTTAGGGAAAGTTCCATAACAACGGACCTCGTGGATACTGAAACAAAAGTAAGTGTTTTCTTTGTTTATTTTTGCTTGAATGGGTTTTGCATTGTTTGCATTATTGCAAAACATAAACATTGTCAGTTGGATTACTGGGTTCTGTTAGTTTTGGTAGAAATTATAATTAATTTGTATAATTAAATTGGATTGTTACAAGTACAATTTATTATTTTGAAGGATGGCCAATGCTTGCCGTGGGACTTCGAAACCAACTACAAGACAAGAAACTGAGTTGTGGCTAATAGGCCAAATGTCTGAAATTCTCAGCTTTACAAAGTTACCGTCAAAGAAGGAAGTCATGGCACTATTCTTCTATTACAAAAAGGCCACCAAACAGACTGTTCGTGAAACATCACATTCAACAACTAATGACATTATTGAAGTATGGGCTAAAGCTCGAATCCCGACACGATTGAAGAAACATGTTGTTGAAAAAGTTGAATGTATGTTCCATGAATATGACAAACTGAAGAAAAATAAGGAAAATAAAGCGAAACGCTCTGAAAGTCTACTGAAAAAGGAAGAAGAATGGAAGGATGGCTTAGAGAGTCTTTTTGACATTGCTCATGCGGATGCCATGAAGATGATTAGCATTCAGGAGGACAGGGAGTTCCTGTTAGCTCAGCGTGAGGCGGGACGACGTGGTAAGATGGGAAGTGTTGGCAAAGCCTCGGCCAAAAGAGAAAGAGATGTTCACAACAAAGAAGAAAACATCACATTTTAGAAATAGTCTTAGAGGCAACGATTACTCTTTCTCTTGGCCCTTCAAAGGGTCCAGACATCATGATTTTTAAAAGATTCAAAAGCAGTTGGGAATTTATTGACCAGTCAAAATTTCAGACATCAAGTTCGAATGACACCGTTTCCAGTGCTGTTTCCAGTATTGCAATTGAAATTATTGCATTTGCTGATAACCAACTGCAACAGTTTCAGCCTCGTGACGATTATCGTGAACTGCTAGAGCTGACAATTATGTTTCTGGGAGGCATTCCATCTCGAAGATGCTCATTCAAAGCACCAGCAGGACTTCATCGAGCCAGATGGATGACCAAAGCTATTTATTCATTGAAAATATGGATGCTGAGAAGCCAATTCAAGATGACAAAGAAAGAAGAGAATAGAATAGCAGACATGTGTCTTTTCACAGTGACTCTGTATGTAAAGGCCTGGTTTAGAGCACCGTCGGCACCATCTTCGCCTCGTGTTGATCTCGAGCTCATCAAGGAGATCGACAAATACAAGGCACAGAATCGAGCAGTCTCTGAGATCGCAATGAAAAAATTTTTAGGACATTTGTGGTACTTGTCAGAAAAACTGATTGCACTGGCTTTCTTTGACGATGAAGTCTTCGATGACACAAAACGCCTGATGGTCAGTGCCTTGCAAGCATTGGGTGCAGAACACGCTTTGAAGAGGATAACTGTTGATCCTTCGCTGGTGAGCTCCAAGAACTTGCAAGACTTTGTCACTGAGAGCAATCATAGATTCTTCACCATCACTGGTCTACCGTCAACTTTCCTCAACAAAAATGTGAAGCTCTGGTCTGCAGATGCTGACTATCAGTTGGCGAAGAACATTGTCAGCAGTATGAGAGTTATGAATGACATTGCAGAACGTGGAGTTGCCTTAATGGACGAATACAACAAGTTGCACACAAACGATGAGGAGCAGAAACAGTTCCTTCTCTTAATTGTAAAGAAGTACCGCTAGCGATTTCCTGATCGAGCGAAGAATACTCTAGCAATGGACTAACTAGATGGCTTTTCTCACTTCGACAGTCTCAATGTAGAAGGACAATAATAATTACAATATGTAACAGTTTTTTAATGGCTTCAATAAAGCAATGCTATTCTCTGTGACAGTTTAAATTTGTCCTGATCATTCATATTGTGCTGAGCAAATAAGCCTCAAGTGGGCACTTTTATTGATACGAACTCTGCGGTAGGGACCCCTAAATTATGGTTTATTCAAATAAAATTTTCAGTACAATCATTTTTTCTTAATAGCCGACCAGTTGAAAGGTTTCTTCATC